ACTCGTGGGTTGAGACAAAACCAGTTTAATAGGTAAAGCAAAAGCCATGCCTGCAAGCAAAGCAAAACAAGGTATTCAGTCACTACTTCCCATCAGCAGGCAGGTGTTCAGCCATCTCCAGGAAAGCAGGGCTCCCTCACACAGAACCATTAATTGGGAAGACAAAAGCCATAACTCTGAACGTTCTCCCCTTCCTTTCTTCTTCTTCCCTCAGCTTTATATACTGAGCATGACATCATAATGGTATGAGATGCCCCTATGGTCATTTGGGGTCAGCTGTCCCAGCTGTGCCCCCTCCCAACTTCTTGTGTGCCCCAAGCCTACTCACTGGTAGGGTGCTTTGAGAAGCCAAAAAGACCTTGACTCCATTTAAGCACTGCTCAGCAATAACAAAAACATTCCTGTATTATCAACACTGTTTTCATCACAAATTCAAAACATCACACCATACTAGCCACTATGAAGAAAATGAACTCTATACCAGCAAAACCAGCACAGATATAGCTAAAACACCATTGTTGCTTCTGTTGTCGTTATAATTATTAAGCATACCAGTTGGAGGACTGATGTGACTTTCAAAGGTGCAGGGCTAATATTGAGAGAGGTAAACTTCCTGCCTACAAGGGGCCTGTTTCCTCAGATGGAAGAGTTTAGGTGGCACTCAGGTTCCAGGCAGGGAGGATGTTGATGTCTTCATGCCATAATCTTGTTATTAATCACAGTTAAGAACTAGCCTACTCTACAAGCTGGAACAATGTTTTTACCAGTCCAGAGGGCCAGAAGAAGACGAGAGTGGAGCGGCTCTCTTCTGTGGTTACCTCTATAGGCCAGTAGTGTGGTAGACCCACCTCTAGGCCCTCACATGCCAGTAGGAGCACATCAGGGATACAGCACATTGCAAGTTCATGCTGGCAGATCAAACTGGTGTAAAAAAACTTCACTGGGCTGACTTTTAACTGGCAAGCTTCCAAATGGACCAGAGAAAGTTCATCCTCCTACCTTCAGTGGGAAAGGGCTGAGCCTTTCATGAAGAACCGTGCACACTGGCTAATTCATAAAAATGAGTCCATGCACTTCCATTAATCCAGGCACTTCTGTGCAGCTAAATGGTTTGGTAATGCCCGGAGCTGACACTAGCAGTAGCAGAACTGTGACCCATGACAGGGATGGGGATGCCAGAGGTCTCTGCATCGTTATGCCCTAGTTCTCAGCTGTAGCAAGACTATCCCTAGCCAGATGTGACTCGGGGAGGCATGGACACTGCTCACTTCAGAGTCCAGGCTCAATTAAGAGTACGGCAGCATCACTCATGCTGCCTGTTCACCATTCCTGATTTATCAGGTGTCCTCTTGCTCCCTTAGTGATAGTCCTACACATTACAGGACCTTCACCACTGCAAAGTTCTTGCCTAATGGACTAGGATTGCTGCTGAGCAAATGGGCACATCTCTGGTTCACCTCTCCGACCCACACTCACTTGTAGTAGGGCAGGGCCACAGGACCCTGATCACACTGCAGCTGGAGTTGTTACAGCCTCCATAAAATGCTGTCTCTGGTTTCAGCTGTCTCTAAGATCCTGCTTCATTTCCTCTCCCAGAACAGCAGTGTAGCTGCTTATGCTTCGGAAAGGGCTATTGAATACTCAGAAACTACACTTGGCCTAGGAAGAGCTGGAGAGAGCTGGAGCCTGGGAGTATTTCAGGTGAGAAGTATTACATCTACTCACTTTGTGCTTCTCTTCCTTCCCTAGTATTTCACTTTCAGGAACCCGTTGTTGCTGTGTTTCTATTTTGGGACTTCTAGCAGGACTGATGAGCCATTCTGAGAAGGAGGAACAAGCAAACAAGAAGCTGGACAGAAAACCAGATAATTACAGGGGACAACAAATTAAAGCATTTTTTGGGGGGAATAAGAGTCAGAAAGTAAAAACTGTAACTATAGGGAGCTGAAAGGGGACGTAAACCAGCACATCTCTGTGCAGGCCCCACTGCCTCCTGAGGAGGTGGACACTTGCCAATATTGCTTTGAGCTAGGATGATGGAACAGGAGTAGGCCCAACAGCTTCCAGGATGTGTGTTCAAAAATCATCAGCTTGCATACCCATCTCATATTCTTGCTAGTGCTGACCTACTGTTATTAATCCCAAAGGCATTACAACCTGAAGAGAATTACACCCGCTGCACTACCTGTCTGAGAAGCTGCATTGGGTAATGCTGTGGAGACCCATGTTAACTGAAATTAAAGAGCCTAGTGGGATCTCATTTTCTTCTTCATTCATCAATCATTTTGTCTTCTGTTGTTCAGCTGTATATCCTGATTTCTCCCTTGCTTTTCTCTCTTGGCCACCACCCCACCTCATCCAAGGCTCTCTGGCCTTGGGCTAAACAGATGAGTATTAGCTGAAATTCAAAGCACGAATAGGGTACCTCTTGGTGTGCCAGGAATAACCCCTCCATCCTGCAGTAAGGGCACTGTCCCGTACCTTGCCTGCAGAAAAACTATTTTGTGGCAACAGTTCACTGAGGTGGGCCTTGGACTGTCAGGAACAAAGTTGGAGGATTCACAGCAGGGTCTGTACTCACCATCAGATGATATTGCAGGAAAAAATAATAAATTTGGAGCAGGTCACCATATTGCTGTTATAGGACCAAGATCAACTTTGGGCTGGTGTATATTATTCCTTCCTGGACTACCGGTCCTTTCTCGTGTAGAACAATGTGGTTGAAACAGCCCTAGCTTCTAATCCCCTTCACCTACTGATGCTTACAGAAGGTTCCTGTTTTCTTTCTTGGGTCTTAAACAAAATCCCTCCCATCAACCCACCTTCCCCTCCAAATTCAAATTCACATCTCATTTAATCTGCGGGCAATGTCATCTTCCTACTCCAAAGACCTGGGCCATCCAACCTGCCATCTTCTGCCAGAGAGTTGGAGTTTTAGGTACGCTGACCTTTCCAAGGTCAAAGTCTGACTGCATGTTTATTCTAAGGTACAGAAACATAGCAACATCTGGCAACATTTTTATCTTATATCAGGTGAACTAGCAATATGTCAGTAATTTCCACACTGCTATGGATAAAGCCTTCTCTGTGCGATGCTAAGCTATGAGCAATATTCTAGGATGCTGAAGTATAATGGCAAGAGACATGAATGGGTCTTCAAGTCTTGCGGATTTTCTTAACACTTAAGGTTTCCATTTTGTGCTCACCATGGACACTACACACTGTTGTATAGCTTTGTGCTGTTGTACTTTCTAGATTCTCAGATGAGACTCAGCTAAATTCTGTAGCATAATGAAGTTTCAAAGCAAGACACAAATGAAGATGTTTGAAGATATATGTGCTGATCAGGCTCAAATCCAGTTACCGCATTCCACAGCAGACCAGTAACTTATAAATCATGGTGCTGAATGGTTATGGACCCCAGTGTACTCAACCACATGTCCATCAAGTGATTTGATTTCTCCCTAAGAAAACAAAGAATTAACACTAGAATGGCCAGAAAGGAGGCATGTGGCATCCAGCCTGAGGACCTGGACAGGCACAAGAAAACTTCAGCCACACTATACATTGCTTGGAGTAATTTTATTCAGTTAATACAGGAGACACTCTCCAGCCAGCTTTAGGTACTCTCTCAGGCAGCAGGGGCTGGAGCTGCTGCCTCAGCCTGCAACTTTTCTGCCTGTCTTGATTGTCTCCTAAAAATCTGGAGACGGTGGCATGGCCAAAGGATGCTATAAACATAAATCAACTAGAAGAGACAGGCATGGTTCCCACCAGCCCCTGCCTTGCTCTTCACATACTCCTTTGTGCCTGCATATTGCAGACTCCAGTAGCAGCACATTCCCCAGTGACATCACACAGTGGGCTTCCTGCTTGGAGGGGTTGGAAATCATGAAACAAGCTGTTTCCAACATGATTCATTCAGATGTTTTGCGTTATTTGCAGGACAAACTGAAAACTGCTGCAAGGCCCAAAACACCAGTATCTTCTTTTTGACTTCTGCTTGTAGAGATAGCTCAGAGCTTTCAGTATCTCCTACCTCACCATTCTTCTCAGTGCTTCCAGTTGGAAAAGCAGGCTTTTTAACTGTGTTCTCCCAGTTTGCAGTGAACAGCTGGGACTCCAGTGTGGAAGAAGTGCTTTTCCAAGAAAAGCAAAGTTTCCAGAGAGCTGACATTTTCCCTTTTATCCTGCTGTTTCTACGATCATAAAAACAGGGAGAATAAAACCTTAAAATGAAGCAATATAATCCTTGGTAAATTAATTGTATTATATTATAATAAAAGCAGTAACATAATAATAATATTACATAAATACAAATAGCGTGAAGTATTTTCTGAAACATACACACATAGCCATAAAAGTGATCTTAATAAGAAATTCTCAAAACCAGAATGCATTACTCTGATTATTTCTTTGGAACAGATCAAAGTAGGAAAAATGTGGCCTCTCAAGAGGGTACTCACAGAATCTGGCTGCAGAATCAGCAGACATGAAACACCTGATCCTGGGGTATGGTCGCCAATGGACTCTCAGGAAGCCTTGTAAAGACCCAGAGCACTGGCTGCACCATCTGAACTTCCTGATGGTTTCTCATGTACTCCTTCTGCTGTGTCCAGCAATGCCCCAGCCAGTGATAAGAGTCTTCTCTGGTGACAGTATGAAGCTCACAGTTCAAGGCTGTAATGAGGAAGACTGCCAGGGATGCCTTTTCCAGTCTTGTAAATAACATTATGACGCACAATGTGAGCTTGAAAGCATGCTGCTGATGCTTGTTAGTATTCAAAGTCTGCCAGCAATGGAGGAAGACCCTAGCAGGAAGAAAGAAACATGGACATTAAAAATTAGATGCCAAAAGCTCAAGTTGTCCCTTCAACATGACCCAGAGTTTGAAAATACAGCATCTAGTCCAAGAGATCGCTCTGATCCACCTTCAGAAGGTCAGATAACCTCCCTTGGGACACAGCTTTCCAGACAACAGAGTAGCACCTTGGAATTTACTGTGCACTGTAAACCCCCCCTAGAAAGACAGACCACTCAGAAACATTTAAAAGGTGTCAGATTGCATAGCTGAATCCAGGGAAAGTGGAGATAGGTTCTGTGGAAAGGCAGAATTTTGGGGATTAAAAAGGCCCTCTAGAGGTCTCTAGTCCAACAATGTGTTTGCAGTATGGCTAACTCTTAAGCTGGATCTGGCAGCTCAGAGCAAAGTTCTCAGTTGTCTCCAGGGATGGAGGTCTGATATTTTCTGGGCATCTGTTCCAGTATAGCACCACTGCTGGGAGTGACTTTTTCCTTCTGTCCACTTGGAATTTCCCTTGTTGCAGCTTGTGCCTGTTGCCTCATTTTCCCTCCGTGCAGCTTTCAGGAGAGTCTGGCTCTGACTTTGCTGCCTTTATGTAGTGGAAAACTGCAGTTAGATCCCAATTAGCCTTATTTTTTTTAGGTCTCACAAAGCCATTTCCCTCAGCCTCTCCTTGTAGGGTAAGTGCTCCAGCACCCTGATCCTTGCAGTGGTACTCCATCAAAACCTCTCCAGTTCCTCAGTGTCTTTCTTGTGCCAGGGAGGCCAGGACTGGACACAATGGTCTGTATTTCTCCAAAGCATGTGCCTGAAATTATCTCTCCTCCTTACACCTCTGCGCTCAGGGGGTCTCGGTCTGCCCCAAGAATTGAGTCAATTGGTAATGGTTGATGAGAATTATCTGAGCATGCACAATTAGTGCAATGGGACTGGGTGTTCACAAGGGCTGAGCACATAGACCTTCCCATTCCTTCTGTGGACTACTGGTGGTTAGTCAGAACTACTGACAATGGGCCCTATTCACCTTCAGTTTGGTGACACAGCAAAGCAGTGGAGCAAGTGCCTGACTTTCAGGATGAGTGTATCAGTGTAAGCTTTCTAGCCACCAGGATTCTGCAGTAATCAACAAGGTTGCCAGGGGCACAGAGGGACAGATCACTTGTTAGCTGTCTCTTTAAAACCAAGACCTGAAGGCCATATTTGCCTCGTGCTGCTGTCCAGGGAACTGTGCCGAGTCGGCTGCAGTTTGTCAGTACTCACAAGCATTTAGCAGACAGCTCTGTTCAGCTCCCTAGTAAGCATCCCGCTATGCATTTGGTTGTGCACAAGCTGCTAATTATTTAATCATCTCAGGCATTAGGAGACTCAGGAAGGCAGAAAGCCAAGGGAAAAGTATCTCCTAAACTCTTACATTGCATTAACTATTTTGTTAGATCAGCTGACTGACCGGATAATGCGTATCCTGTCACCTGAATGTCTTATTCAAACAGAATAAGAAAGGTCAGGTCCTGAGGTATTAAAAGACCTCTGTACATTTTTCTCTATCAGAAATAAAACAAGGCATTTATAGCATCCTACAAACAGGTTAGTTTTTCTCCTTCTAGACTTTAAGTTCCTGTCTTATGTATTACGTATTTCTGTGCATCCTCTATCTCCTGACATGCATTCTGCTAGCTCCCATTCTACATATAGGGACCAGTTCAAGCAAGAACCGGCTTCCCCCACAAAGGGTGTGAGGGGAGCCAGGAAGTTAACTCCCGTCCTGGTCTTCTCTCCTGTTCAGTAGACCACCTTCTCTTTCTTCCATAGTAGGATATCAGGCCATACAAATAAATTCTGCAGTTGTATGGACTGCAAGTCATAGTGAATGCAGATCTCAGTTATATGATACACTTATGTGTAAGCTGTGATCCTGAAAGTGAATACACCCATCTAGGCTTTTGATCTTGCTCAAAACTTAACTAAAATCAGTAGCCCTGTCCTAAGAGGCAGACAGAGTGTACTTGAATCATGTTTATACAGCTGAATGAGCTTTTGGGATCAAATAGCTCCAGTAAGATGCAAGCTCATTAACGTGTAGCTAATCCATGTAAAGGGTTGAAATAATTTACCCTTTCCTTAGTAAAAAAAACAAGAGTTTTGCTAAATCTCTTCTCTACTCCTGGCCACAAAGGCACAATGTGGCAGCATAGTCCTTGGCAATTCCTTGACTGCTTGTCCCTCTGTTAATGCGGCATCAAGCCCGTGCTTATTTTTCCTACTATTGTTTCTGCTAACACCATTGCCAGGATCCTCTAAACCTCCTTTTCCTAGGATTTTGCATTACTTTTCACTCTCAGCATTTTCTTCAAGTGCCTACTAACCAAAAGGCTATAACAGAGCTCACTCAAATTAAAAAAGATGTATGAAGTGAAGCTCCAGGGCAAATAATCATCTTCTCCATGCTGGTATGCAACAAATATTTTCCACCAGTAACTGTAATCTGAGAAGAGAGATATCCAGTCACTCTTGATAAAAGGCACACCCAGTTCCTTCTTCATGAATATGTCAGTGAGTCACTTATTTCTTAGTAAGACAACAGTGAAGAGCAGGAGAAAGATATTTATCTGTGGGTATTCATGCAAGGGACCAACAATGACTTGCAACTACACAAATAAGTTAGTGGAAAGGGGAAGCAAAACTCTACAAATAGCAATATGTCTAAAAAGGGGAATTGCCAGAGAGAGAGAGATCACTATGGTGGCTTGGGCAACTCCTGTCACAGATAACACATCAGAGCATAAAGCCAAAGCACGTTGGACAAGTGAGAAGGAATCACTGAGTTGCAGGCTGCTTCTTTGGGAGGGACTGAAATGGGGAGAGGCACATGAAATCAGGGCTGCTCAGGCATAACTTTTGGCAGCCTTGTGCTTGATCACAGCACCTTTGGGTAAGACAATAAATTTGTTGCTTCAGTCATGAATCTGTCTGATTTATCTCAATGATCAGGGAAAACACGGAGTGAACACCCTAACATTTATCAGCTTTATATTGATCTTAGTGTTGATAGGATGGCCAGAGCTTCTGTCAGTGCTCTGATGGTATAATCCCAGAGACAGGTTCCCCAAGATAAGCAATGTCCTTTAGGTTTACAATTGACCTGGTAGGTTTTGTAGCTGCACACTCCATTAGGAAGTATCCAGACAGGTATGTGAGATTCATCTCTTCCAGTGTACATTCCTCTCTGTGAGCTACTCGTCTGGACTATTTTTACAGCCAAACATCAACAGGCAAGCAAGATATATGTACAAAAAAGACATACAAGACACAATTTTCCTCTGTGATGCATCATGTGAAAGTCTCCTTTAGATATACCTCCTTCTCTTCTCCACCTATCAAGGGACATCAATTACTTGCTGCAGATGGCAAGCTGACCTGCATAGATATGCTAGGAGGGACAGGTTCTGTCTTACGCTCAGGATTTTTCACCGTATGTAAAGGAGGCATGGATGGCTAGAGGAAGAAATAACTCCTTCTTCGGATTAAGTGAGAGGAAATGCCCATGCTGGTCCTGCTGCTATATAGGATTGGGGAAGAAATAAAGCAGAAGGAAGTGGCATTTTTGTGCTGACTAGTCCTCCCTAATGCCAGTCATCACCACTATTAGAAAGCATAACTGCTGAGAGTGCTTATTATCCCAGAACTTTCAATCCAGACCTAGACAAAGCCAAAGAGTAGTTGGATTACTTACAAGATTTATGATACGTATAACGACTCCATTCATTGCCACGTTCCTGAGACCTTGCTGGTTATATCTATCCAGGTGCTTGAACAGCTTGGCTGCACGTATTTTCAAGGTCACATTGGGATGCACCCCCAGGAACTCCGGAGTTCTTCTGCAGCATTTCCCATGGGGGGTAGTGTGGAAGAACGGCTCAGTGAGCAGGGACATCAGTATGTGCACAATCCAAACTTCGATAAAGAGGCCCGAGAGTCCGTGGACTCTCCTCGAAAACAGCAAAGGAAAAGAGTAAAAGAACTGGTAAACAGCAGGGGGGAGGAAGGCTCAATGGGATGGGGAAGAAAGGAGTATGCAAATATGAACCACATGCCAAGAGGGCAAGAACCAACGACCACTGGCTGCTGCCACGTGCACACCGCGTGCACGCAGGTAACAAACCAATCATGTTAGAAAGCAAACGCGTGCAAGGCTTGGAATGCTATGTATTCCCCCTGAATCCTGAATAAAGGGAACAAGAAGCTTAACTCATATTGAGTGTTGTCTTGATTCTGGCCAGCTCTCTGCAACAGGGTAGTAGATAGGACCCAGGTCATGAAGCAAAAAACTGATGGATTGCCTTTGAAACAATTTTCCAAGAAGTTGACTTCAGCATGTTGGGTAGAGTTGTTGGAGCACCAACTCTTCCAGAGAGTACTTCTGCTCCACCTGATTGCATACAGCAAGCACACCACCCTTGGATGTTGGCCAGGCAAATTATTTATCTTGAAGTAATTTGGCTGTATCTTCCACCTGTGATGAAAGTACCATAAGTACTATGATCTCACTCAAGTTTAACTTCACTGATTTCAGCAGTAAGGAATCTGCTTTCCCCTGACTAATCAAAGAGCAGAACCAAATCTCTTCTCCTTTTGTATGTTCCAGACCACTTCTACTAGGCAAAACTTGAGCTATTTTCCTGTTATTACTCATAATATCAATCTAGACAAAAACATTTTCACAGCCAAAGGTTCTTTATTTTCTTAGTATTAAACTGTTTCAAAAGCTGAAAAGATATCAGTGCCAAGGAAGAAACTATCAGTGCAGAAAGCAGTGTTATTTCTGACTAAGAAACACCTATGGGGTGGTACCACAGACCTGCCTGATTGTATACATTTTGTCTCTCGTGGTGACGAAGTTTGCCCGTATGACTCATTCGTCCCTTTACAGCTGAGGGTCTAGATGAAAACAATTCCAGGTGATCAAGGTTAGTTATTTATTTCGTAGAAGTCCACCCATAGCAAACTTAAGGATCTAAGAACCCTCATTTTATTGAAGAAAATAATTAATTTACTTAGAATTAACATACTAAAGGCACTTTTCCAGAGCTCTTAGCTCTTTAAGATGAGGAATTGCAAAATATATACAGGGAAATTATGTTTCAGCAGG